TGAGTGGATGTGAGTGGGGGAATAAAGATGCGTGTATGTGTCTCACCTTATTTGTGGTTGATGGGTTGAATCGTTGCTCCTGTGTGTGTACTGGTGAGTGGGCTGTTTATTTGCTATTAACATGTGTGTGCATATGTGTACTCGCCTAATTCACCTAACTCTGGTTGGGGGGGCCGTGTCATTAGCTCCAGGCCCTGCTCTTCACTGGTAAACTACTAGGTTCCACTCTCTCCTTCCTTCAATAGCTTTATCATACCTCTTCTTAAAGTAAGGATGGATCCTGCCTCAACGGACTTTGCTTTCCAGATTATCTTCTTCTTATGACCAGAGCTTTGGTAAGATGGGTAAGGAAAGAAGGATGGGAAGGAAGAAGGATGGGGTAAGGTCAGATTATTGGAAAGGGTGGGAGGAGGAGGGGAGTGAGATTAGGATATAAAAAGGTAATGCTGCCCAACCACTTTGGTGTAATTTAAAAAGTGTATGTGAAATAATAAGATTTTCTTAAAGGGGTATCAATACTAACCCTCAGAGTCACATAGATATAAAACAGATATATAATAAGTACATGACTCCTGTATTGGTAAGTAATTATACAAGGTTGCAATTGCCTTTGCGCGCGCGCTGTGGATGCACAACGGATAGTTATAGATACAATGAAGGCAATAATTTCCTGGTCATTTTTTAAATAATTACTTGAAATGGCTTCTTAAAGGTTGGCGTCCTGCCATAGGAAATTTAGCATTAATTTTTAACAGGTGTATGTTATATAAGATGTCTCCCAAATTGGGGGGCTCGATGGTTTTCTCAGTAAACATAGAAGGGTTCTGGTGTTACCCAAACATCTTCATTCAGTGGAGGTTTTTGCTCATATTCATGGGGTTCGATGGAAATCATCTTTATGGATAAAACGACGGACCCTCATGTGGGGAGAGTCATTCTTTGAGTCTTGTGAGGAGAAGTATGATGATATAATCCGTGGTATTTACAACTTGTAGAAGGATGTTTCTCTATCTGGCATGGTAGAGTTCTTGCATTGCATAGAGTTGTTTCTTTTTTTCATGGTGGTCAAGGGCGTACATTTAAGCAGTAATATCTTTGTTGTAAGTGTAAATCTGCCTCATTTTTACTCTAGTCTC